AGGGAATGAAAGAGTTAGGTGGTTAGATTGTATATTTGGGTTGGGTTTGGGAGAAAGAAGAAAAAGAAAAGGATGGAATAAGAAGTGAAAGGCTTGATCATTGAGTTTAAAAGGAGTCCCTAGGGAATTAAAGTTATAAGAAAGGAAGCTCTAGACCTAAGTAAAAGAAAGAATTGGGTAAGATAGTCTCCAAAAAAGGAAAAGTTTTGCAAAGGTTGACAAAGAAAGTGGGATTAAATAAGAGTTTAGTGTTTAAAGAAAGGGTTCCCTAGGTGGCTAATGAATAATAAGGTTTTGATCATGAGGGTTGTGTTTCGATGAGAAAAGAGACCAAAAGTGTCCAATGGGTGTGGTTTGAAAAGAAAAAAAGAAAAAGGTTTGCAAAGGGTAGAAATTAGGATCCTATATCTAAGATGGGTAGAACAACAAGAGCTAATCTTTGTATGCATAAATTGTTCTTGGTCTTAGATGGATTTCATGATTGTCTACCATTCATTTCAGTTGAGAGTTAGTCACACAAAGAAACAAAAAAACAAAGCCACCTCAAAAAGCCTTTACCCTAAACCGATTGAGATTGATTCACTTACCATTTGCAAGACCGCGCCAAACACTTTAATGAATGTTAAAGAGATGTTTCAACTTGATTGTGAGTCTTTGCTAATGGAATGAGAATGATCTAGAATATTACATTAACTTAGGCATGAGAAAATATTTGAGAGTGCGATGATTGATTGAAGCACCTTTGAACTATCATTGAGGACTTTGGTTTGAATCATTTGCTTCATATTTTGTGGTTATTGAATTCCTCCTTCAAGCTTCTCTCTTGGCCTTTATTTAGATTGTTTCCTTGAGGACAAGCAAAAGGCAAGTCTGGGGGAGTTGATACACATCATATTTACAGCTTTATTAAGGTTTTTATTATCCTTTTTATCATGTTTCAATTGTATTTTCATTGTGTTTTGTTGCATTTAGTGTCTAAATGAGTCTTCTTGTTTTTTAAAAGTCATATAGTGTCTTTGAGTGTGTTTTAGTGTGTTTTGGGTGTGTTTTTAAGTTATTTTAGGTTAAGATAATAGAAGACACATGTTTTAATGCAAAGTGGAGGATTGATGATGTAGATCCAGTCCAAAGTCCCTCAAAGTTCGACTCAGATGAAGGCTGGAACTTGTGATTTAGCTTTGAAACTCTGAACAAAAGTGATAGGAAATCGAATTAGCTTTCCAACGGTGTTGTTTGCAGGCCAGTCAGAGTTATGGTTCATGAGTTATGACTGATTTAGTGAGAGTATATCCATACAGAACGAAGAAAGAAGCCATCGAGAATTCCAATCGACCAACAGATCGGTTGAAAGGTCGGTTGGATTGAAACAGACGCCAAAACAAGTTTTCAATCGACCATACAATCGACCGGTTGGATATAAAGACTTTG